TCAAAGAACCCTTCTTCTACTCCCATCTGCTCCCACTTCTGGAGTTAAGCATTCTGAACTCTTTCCAAGTTTGCTCCAAAGAACAGGGCCATCAGGATGAGTTTAAAAAAAAAAAAAAGTCAGAATGCTTGAAGCTACCATATGCTAAATGGCAGATTCTGTAGTTGAATAATTGTTGATTTTTTTTTTTAGAATGTCGAGACCCCTAGCACTGTGTGGTCTGCCTGAGGCATTTTCCGGGTATAGAAGATGACTTGGCCTGGTTCTCAGCATCTCAGGACAGAGTGGAGGCAGTGGCTGGTCCTCAGAAGCCAGGATGGGAAGACTTCGTCTCAATTACGTTGGACACATCAAGAGGGACTATCATTCTTGGTAAAGAAAAAGAGGAATAGAGGATTCTAATACAGGGCACACACAGAACTACCAAACATTGTGAAAACTGCACAAACAAAAAGACAAAATAGATGAATGGGGCATACTAAAAATTAAAAACTTATGTGCATAAAAAGACTTCACCAAGGGGGTGGGGAAGGACTCCTGTGGTTCAAAAGGGAATGATTGCTATCAAGTCTGACAGTGAGTGTTGGAAAGGGAAATGTAAATGTTTGGTAACAAAAAGAGGAGAGTGGCTGACTTTGCAGTCCAGGAGAAGAGATCCCTGGAACCATCAAGCGAGAAAAGCGAGGTACGAGACCGTGTCTGAAAAGGCAGTGATACTAGGGATGGAGGCAGAGACAATGACGTGGACAGAAGGAGCAGCTGGGGACTCTGGACTCAGGGAGGGAGGGGGCAGTGTCCTGGTAGCCGGGGAGGCAGGAGTGTTGGGTGTTTGATGATGCATGCAGGGGATTGTGATCATTGCAATGAAACAAAGTAGGATAGAATGAATGTAAAGATAATGTTCACCCATGTAAACTAACACAAAATTTACAATAAAAAGTGAAAAAAAAAAAAAAAAGACTTCACAACAAAAGAGTAAAAAGGGAGCTCACAGAATGGGGGAAAAAATCTTTTGCAAAAATGTATCAGACAAATACCAACAGAGAGGGAAAGAGTCTTCAAATCAAGTATCAATGCTATCCGCTCTGTGCACAGGGTAGATAGGGATGGGAAACTTAGACATTGGCT